CTGATGACAGGTACGCATGTTTCCTATGGCACCCCAACTTCACTGCACACGTGTCCATTTCCCACTTTGTTTGATTCCTTCCCCCAGTGATCTACAGGGAATGGACTAGAGGTTCTCTGGGGAGCATGAAGTTGCAGCTTCCTGTAAAGCTGCCCAGATGACCCTACTTACAATGTCTAGCCTCCCCTTTGCTTCTTTTTTTAGTGTTGGTATTAGCTAGCTAATTATGACAATGACAAAAATATATCACAAATTAGAATAACAGAACACTGCCTAAGAAAGGACATTTATATAGTAGTCAAGGGATTAATATCCATAATATATGTACTATTCCAACACATGCATTTAAAGAAGACAAACTAGATTTTGGAAAAATAGGTAAAGCATATGATTGGGTGAGTCACAAAGAAGATGGCCCTTATTAAAGAAGGGCCATCTTATGAAGAAGTGCTCCCTTATTAAAAATTATGAAAATGCAAATATGCAAGTTAAGGAAAAGTAATACCACCATTCAACTTACAAGATTGTCAAAACTTTAAAAGCTTAATAATATCAACCAGAAGTGAGAATGTAAGCACACAGGGATTCCCAACCATTGCTCTTGGGAGGGCAAGTTAGTGCAGCTTGCTTATAGAGCAGGAGTCCTCAAATGAAAGGTTGAGAGAGTAAATGTTTTAGGCCTTGAGGGCCAACAGGCAACATTTAAGATATTATACAGGTACTCACATAATCATTTAATAACGCACAAACCAGTCTTAGTTCACACACTACATATAAAGCCTGTTGACCAGATTTGGTATGGCTTGCAGACCTATGTTACATTTGGGCAGTATTCAAATCTCAGAGTCCACTTTCTAGCATATATCATAGAGAAGCTCTCATACAAGGGGACACAATGTACAAATGTATTAGTCGCAACATTATAAAACAACTGAAATATGCATGGCAAAGGGAACTGATAAACAAACATGGTATATTCACTCATAATTCATGTATTCATGATGCTATATACCATGAGTTTTATGTTTACTAAGATAAAAAGATTTCAAGAAACAATATTGAGAAATTTAATTGACAACAAATGTAGAATTTGATACCACTTATTTTGAAAGTTGCTGCTATTAATGATTTGTAAGGAGGGAAACACCTGGTTAAATATAAGTTGGCCTCAGAAAGGTGTGTGGTCATCAGAGTAGAGAACTGGGACATCAGATGTCTCCACCAGGGTGGTCACCAGCGCACTACAGTAGCATTTCTCAAATTAAAAACTTAACATTAATGTTAAGAATGAATGGTATATAGCAGTCGCCAACCTTTTGGACCTCACGGACCACCAGTGGTCCGCAAACCACTGGTTGGTGACCACTGGAAAATGTTTGTAGATGATAACTTTAAATTAAAAAACACTGTATATTTTCAATAGATGCCTATATTGTATACTGTCTATGTGTGGGAAAGTACTGTATTTCATTTATTTTAATACTAGAGGCCTGGTTCCCTAGGCCTGGCCGGTGATCATGGCCAATCAGGGCCTTCTGGCTACTGGCTGCGGCCTTCCTTCGTTTCACACCACCCCCTGGTGGTCAGCACATGTCATAGCGAGTGATTGAACTCGCAGTCTCCTAGTCAAACTCCCAAGGAGACACTTTGCATATTAGCCACACACACACACACACACACACATTTATTTTCACATTTTAACAACTCTGAAAATGGAATGCACCTTATCATCTATGTGTATAGTTTAATTGTTGGTTTTTTGTTAATGTTACACAAAATAAGAGTCTTCTTACAGTTGATAATATGTTAAATTTAGTGAAATATGATTTAAAACTGGAAGATAAATTTATACCAAATTCATCATATTCACTGTCTGGGAGACCATGATCACTGTGTGGGGAAAGGAGAAGGAAGGAGAGAGAAATTTGGTACAGGAAGAATCATAAGTGATATTTTAAACTGAATGATAATACTTTACATCTTTATATTAAAAACATTTGAAGTCACATAAGAACATTTTAGCATTCATTAATATACAGCTTTAAATGCACACACCATCTTACTTAGACTGAAAGGCACTAGTGTTGGTGGCAGCTATGATCATCCACTATCTCATGGCTAAAATCTCCTTCAAAATACAAGTCCAACTCACACGGAGGTGGCAAACTTGGGCACTAGGTGGGGTATTATTATCTTCAGTTTCAGATATAACATGACATAGAGATCAGGGAAGTTGTCTGGTTCTTCCAAGTCACCCATCTAGTGACCAGAAGAGCTAGAACCTGAATCTAGATTTTGAACTCCAGCCCCATACTCTTGTACTCGGCCAAACTTACTAGACCACGCTCATTGACTTTTCAATTCTCAATTGCTTTACAGATTTGAAAAAATTATGAATAACAGAACAAACTATTTCAATTTTCAGTTTTAGCTAAAAACTACCTCTAGGAAACAACAATGAAATTATAATAAGTGTTTTGAGCAGATACTTAATCAGTAGAATGAAGGGATGAAATTAGATGTGGTTTTCAAGCCATGCTCGATGGGTTCCTAAAGGCTCAGGCGAACCTCAAGAACCCTCAGAAGTGCTCCAGGCTCCACAACCAGTGCCAAGTTTTGGCCCCGTAAGGAAAATTTAGACTACCCAAGTAGTCTGTGTAAAGATTTAACAAAATATTTTTTTATATTAGCAACCCCTGTAGAAGTTCACTTGAAAAAAAGAAGTTCACTTGAAAAACTACACAGTTTTTCTTTCTGCTTTCATAATGTGTGAGTCTCAGTCTTAAGGATCAAAACTATATCTCTATGTTAAAAGATCTGCAGTGAGGTTAGCAAACAATTATATTATATTATTTTATTTTTAAAAAATATATTTTATTGATTTTTTACAGAGAGGAAGGGAGAAGGATAGAGAATAAGAAATATCAATGAGAGAGGAACATCGATCAACTACCTCCTGTACACCCCCTGCTGGGGATCGAGCCCGCAGCCCAGGCAGGTGCCCTTGACCGGAATCGAACCTGGGACCCTTCAGTCCGCAGGCTGACGCTCTATCCACTGAGCCAAACCAGTTAGGGATATATTATTTTTTAAAATATATTTTTATTGATGTCAGAGAGGAAGGAAAAGGGAGAAAGAGATAGAAACATCAATCATGAGAGAGAATCATTGATCAGTTGCCTCCTGCACATCCCCTACTGGGGATCAAGCCCACAACCAGAGAATCTAATCATGACCTCTTGATTCATAGGTCGACGCTCAACCATTGAGCCATGCCTGCCCGGCAACAATTATATTGCTTTAATAGAAAAACAATTACATAGATTATTCCCATAATTCATGATTTCAATCATATCTGTCCTGCATTTAACCCATGATCAACACTCTCCAAGGTCTTCTGAAGTTTTAAAGGAAAATAAACACATAACAGGTGCCTAATAAACATTAGTTGAATTCATGAGTGAGTGAATGAATAAATAATGACAGACACAGACTTAAAGGTCCTGGAAAGAAGCATACAAAGACCTCAGGGCCAAGTGTCCTGGGAACACCAGCACAGTCCGAGTTGGCTCTGGAAGCCAGACCTCCATTCTCACTACTCAATGTTCTTTCCTTTTGTGAATATTTTAAAAGTTACGCCATATAAAAAATGCCCAAACTATTTCTTTGTGATTTTACTGTTTGAACCCAAGATTTTACACCACATAACAATGCATCCCAATACACTTTTTGATAAACATGTCTTAGTTTTAAAAGTCTTTGCCTATAGCAAATGTAACCTGTAATATAACATCTAGTTTCTCAAGCACTTGTTTGATTCATAGATATTTAGAATTGGAAGGGACCTTAGAGCTCATATGTAATTTGTTTTATTTTAGTGACTCTTGGGCAGAGGTTTGATTTGATGCAGATATTTTCATTGACAATATTAAGTTTCATAACCTAAGGAAGTAGCAATAAGTAGTTGCAAGACCATAGGATTTGAGACCAGGCAGACCTGGGAATTTTCTGACTCTAACATTTACACTCCATGTGACATTGCGCCAATTACTTAACTCCTCTGAACCTCAGTTTCATCATCTGCAAAATGGGAATATTACCTAACTTGGTTGTACCAAATATTAGGAATAAAATTGTGAAACATTTTGTCTCTCAATAAGTAATAGCAGTTGTTTTTATTTCATGTATTCATAATAAAGGGTACCGTTCTGAATCCTTAACTTGAAACTTTTAACATAAGTGTAGAGCTTAAGTTTGCTTCTTAAATATGCATCAATTTATTACATAGAGATGTACATTTCACATTAGAAAAACCTGAGAATTACATCCCTTAGTATGTAATAGGCTACATTTCATAGCATTTTTTCTTTGTTTTTAATAAACATATATTAAAGGGAAAACTCTGTGTGACAGAAGTCAATTTTTTTGGGGGGATTTAGTATTAGCTTTTATTGTGCTTTAAAAATATTTTCAGCTATGTGTTTTATTTTTTCCCCCATCAGTTTCTTTCTGTTCCCCATAGCAAAAAACACTGAGCTGATTTCTAATTAACTGACTAGATCCTGAGGTCTCCAGCTACTATCTTCAGTTTAATTACAGCTGTGAAGAAGATGGAATGAAATTGAAGATAGTGTCTATACAAGGTTAAAAATAATAATAATTACATAATTCTGGTTTTATCCTTAGATCATGTTGGATGTGAATGATTAGAGGTGTTTAAATTGGTATGCAAATGTGAGATTTCTATTTTGTTTTGTCTTGTTTTCCCTCATGTAAACGCTTGTACCTGATAGAGACAACTTCCTAATTAAATCTGAAATCTAGTTCTGAAGGAGTTCATTGATTCCTGGAAATTTAGAATGGAAGGGACCTTATCCAACCAGACTATTCTACATTGGTTCTCTGGCTCCATTTTGAAATTGAATGCAGGCCAAAAAATCTGTTGATGCTCATCCCATTATGAATTCTAAGACATAATTGAAAAAAAGTGCTAAACTCACCAGAGTGGCAAAAAGATGATAGAGAATGAAATAGATGGCAACCACCGGTGCCCACATGGTTCCCACAGCATTTAGAGTTTGGTCCATTACGTCTACCCATCCTTCCTGGGTAAGGATCTGGAACATGGACATAAATGCCTACAGAGGAAAAGAATGGAGGTATTAAACACCAGTTTAAGGCTTGCATGCAATTTAAAATTAGTGTATAGTGTTTGAGGACTTTGATCTCAATATTAGTGATTTTTATCTGAGTGCTCAGGGGAAGAACAGCCTTAATCAAACAGATGGGAAAGGGCTGAGAACTAAAGATCCTAAAAGCCTAATATCTAACTATTAAGTGTAGCAAACTAAAATAATTGTCCTTAATTAAAATTATCCTTGTTGGTGGTAAATACTGTTGAGAAAAATTGGAAAAAAAATTGAGGAATGTAGCTTATTATTGCCTTTCTTTCTTTTCTCCTCTAAGTTAACTTTTTAACATTTCCAACATATTACTGTATTTTTATTTTTGCTGCTAAGCACAACTTGTTTTTTTGTTTTTGGTATTTGTGAATACTCACCTGTGGGTATTTTTTTTTCATTGATTTTTAGAGAGAGTTGAAGGGAGGTGGCAGGGTGGCAGAGAGAGAAAGAGAGAGAGAGAAACATTGATGCAAAAGAGTCACATTGATTGGTTGCCTCCTGCCCTGGCACTGAGATGCAGATAGAACTACAACCTGGAGCCACACTGGCCAGGGCCACAACTTGTTTTTATAATGAACTAGAGGCTTGGTGCACAAATTCGTGCATGGGTGGGGTCCGGCTGGGCCGGTCTGCCCCGATTGAGGCCAATTGGGCTGGGCTGGGGTAGGGGGATGCAGGAGGTTGCCCGGCCAGCCCCGCCCTTGATCAGGGTGGGTGAGGGGCTGATTGGGGGTGGGACTGGCTGGGGGGGAGGGGCCACAGGTGGTTGGCGGGCTGGCCACACCCCCTGGTCGAACTCTCAACTGAACTCCCGGTCAAGGGAACAATTTGCATATTAAGCTTTTATTTTAAAGGATTACATTTAATTATCTAAAGGCATATGAGAATAACTTATTTTACTTTTATAGTACTCATCTATCAAATTATTTGTTATATCAAAAGCCTAAGACTCTTGGCAAAGGCTTGGAAGAGGTGGGTGCAGGGAGGAGGGGGTCAATGGGGAAAATACAAAAACAAAAAACCAAAGTGCACATCTGTAATACCTTCAACAAAGATAAACTTTAAAAAAGAAGAAAAAATAAAACAAAAAAATATGAGCTGCTTTAAAAAGGAAATATTTCTAAATAATATAGCCATACTGAGCAACTTAATAAAGACAAATACATTTTTCATAATTATTTTGTTTCTTTTTCAAAGCCAAGTGAAGACCATGGATGAAGCCAAGACTAAAAAATACACAGCATTCCAACAAAAGCCAGCCAAGCTACAGGGCTCCTACTCTCTGGAAAGATCTTTGGTTAGTTCCAATCTTACATATGTTTCTTATTAATTGTATGATTACATATACATCTCTAATTCATGTATTCTGTACACATTAGTGCCACTAAATGCTTTATTTCTTTTTTCCTTTTAATCCTCATCCGAGGATATTTTTTTCCATTGATTTTTTTTTGGAGAGAGCGAGAAGGGAGAGAGAGAGAGGAAAAGAGAGAGAGAGGCTGGTTGCCTCCTGTACACATCCCAACTGGGGATTGAACCCGCAACCTAGCTATGTGCCCTGACTAGGAATTGAACCCCCAACCTTTTGGTGTATGGGAAGTAGCATTTTTTTTTGTTGTTGTTCTCACCTGAGGGTATTTTTTTTCATTGAATTTTAGAGAGTGGAAGGAAGGGGGAGAGACAGAGAGAGAGAAACATCAATGTGAAAGAGAAACACGGATTAGTTGCCTCCTGCTCACACCCAGACTGGGTATTAAACCTGCAACTGAGGTATGTGTCCTTGACCGGGAATTAAATCTGAGACCCTTTGGTCTGAGGGCGGATGCTCTAACCAGGTAGGGCAATAAATGCTTATTGATGAGAATTTATGATGATGTCTGGGAAAGTTGACAATTAGAATCTAGAAAATGTATTTATAGGTCACAGTACAATGAAGACTTAAGTTGAATCCTCAGGTATTGAGAGTCCAAGAAATCAAGTCTAGTACAACACATAGATAAACCAATCACAAGATATAAGCTCCTCTGTTACCTAGAACTAAAAAGGACCTTAAAGTTAATCGAATTGACTCTTTCTTTTTGAAGATAAGGAAAATTAGGCTTAAGGATGATAGGTGATTAGCTCCAAATCACTCTATTAATTTGTGGCACTAAAAGAAATATTATTCAGGTGTTCTGAGGCAATAGTAAGTACTTTTCTAAGTATTGATTCCTATGTTCAGTGAGATCTTGAATCTACTACTTCCCAATCAGACTCACTCAGTAAGCTCTCTCAGCATAGTCTCCTTTATCACAGATAATTAACTTTTTTAGAAGTAAGGTGTTCAATGCCCAATTTATAACAAACCCATTTGAACAAAGGAGACATTATTAAATGAATCTTGAAGTATGAGAAATGTTTTTCCACTCCCTTTATCCATGTGTAGAACTTCTCCATGAGTTATTTTTTTCTACAGTCTGATTATCCTGCAAAGTCTTCTGTTCATAAAAGTATGAAATACGTTGCTATTGGTACTTGAATTCAGGGTCACCAAGTTATAAAATATTTTCCTTGCCAGCTGCCTAAGCAAATGTTAGCTTTAACTCATTATAAAAATGCTTCAGAGAGCCCTAACCGGTTTGGCTCAGTGGATAGAGCATCAGCCTGCGGACTGAAGGGTCCCAGGTTAGATTTCCGGTCAAGGGCATGTACCTTGGTTGCAGACACATCCCCAGTAGGGGGCGTGCAAGAGGCAGCTGATCCATAATGGAGATGTCACTAGCGTGAAAGTGTGTGTTCATCCTAAAGACTCAATTGCAATAGAGAAAGAGTAAAAATATCTACCAATACAAAAGGGATTTTATTGGACATAAATTTCTTTCTCCAAAGTAACCAAATGATTATGATTAAGCCCAATATATTTAGTTTTGGTATCCAGACCAAAAATTCAGGTGGTCCTTTCAGCTGCCTTGGGCACAAACCAATTTAGTTTGTTTTCATCTACTGCATTAGCTTTCATGAACACTCAGCTATTATGCATTCAGTAAATGTTCAGGAATGTGGAGCTGTGGGACTGTAACCTGTTGCTGTGAGATAAGCGATGTGGGCAAGAACATTGAGGTTATCCTCTACTTTTTTCAGGGTCTCAGAAAAAATAATCTCATTTCCGCACAGTTCAGGCATCTGAAAGTTCATATTATGAGATGCTGTGAATTATATTTGAGAGCAAAGGTTTCTGTACAATGTTATTCGTGTGTTTATAGCTGCTTACATGAATAAACCAATGAAAGGGAGTATCATGAAATACTTTTATTATGGGCTGAGAATTAATTTGTGTCCTGCAAGAAGGGTGTCTTATCAGTTTTGCTGAGATTTTATTCAGAAATTTAAATCCAAATGGTAGTTTGTTTGAAGTTTTGAATCAGGTGCACTTATTGACTTATATTATTTGAAGGATCTTGTTCCTTAAAGAACCCACTTAGTTTATTTATTCAAACAGGGTAATTAGTGGTTACTGAAGGTTTGATGTGTTGGGGATTGAGATGAGGAAGACATGGTATGTTCTCTTAAGAAATTTATAAGAAAGGAAAAAGTGACAAATATGGTCTATAGGAGAAATATGGTAAAGCTACCAAAAGGCAAGTTAGAAGAACCAACATATCCTTCTCAGGTAAGTTTAAGAACAGTTTTGGAAAAATGATGGTAATTGGCTTTCATGATGAAGATGAGCAGGATTTCAACGGTGGAAAAGAAGGTGATGAACAAAGGCCTAGAGAAAGTTGTTCCTTGGAACTACTTTTCCTTTTGTTATGCTATTTTCCTTCCTGTTGACTCAGTCCCCCAAATCCTTATTGGTTTCTACTAGCTCTTTATAAATTGAGAAGATGAACCTTGTGCCTGTCATGTATGTTTAATGGATTTCCCCCCCTTTCACTCATAGTATTTTTGCAAGCATAAATTTTCAAATTCTATGTGGTCTAATTTATCATTCCTTTTATTTAAGGTGTTTTATTTTGCTTAAAAAGACTTCTGACACATATAAATGTTCCCATATTTTTATGCAACAGTTTTACAGTTTCCTCATTTTATTATGTTTAACATGTTGAACCAGAAATCATTGTTTAAATCTATAATTTATTTTGGATAATAAATGAGACAGAAATTAATCTTATTTTTTTTTCAACAGGTGATCAGTTAATTCAGCACAATTTAATTGAAAAATCTGTTTTTTCATTAATATGAAATATCCTCTTTGTCATATATTAAAGATTCCTATGCTTTCACCTGTATTTATAGATTTTTCTATTCTTTTCCATCAGTCTATTTCATCCCCAAATTGCTCAAAATTATATATTTAATAACTTGTCAGGCTACTAGCCCTTCCCCATAAATATTTATTCTCAGAAGTCTTTTATTTACTTTTATGTTAATTTTCCCAAAACAACTTCTTGTTTTATTCATTGAGATCTCATTAATCTAAGGAAAATTTTCTATTGTTCTCAGTTTATCCTCCAATCTTGGAGAAAGACATATCTTCCCACTGATTGTCTCCATTCATGAAGTTGAACAGGCTTCTTATTATATAGTTTCTGCTCATTTCTTGTTTTGCTATTCAAAAATCTTAATCAACATGATACCACTTGATTAAAATATTACATAGTAAAGAAACCTGATGATGGGTTTCTTAATGGATAAGAAACAATGAATAATAAACAATGCTGCATGCCTAAGTATTTCAGCCCCACTTCCCAGAGGCCACCATTCTTAACCATTTGTCTTTTCACTTCTGGTGGTGCTATCCATACAACCCATTCAGTACTTTAGACATAGACTTCTGCTATGATGTGAAGATTTAGTCACAACATCACTCCCTACTTCGCTTGACCACTCCCACATTTTGTACATAAATCGTTATTTCTATTTCACCAAACTCACAGAACGGCTTGCCATCACACTGTATAATAAGAAGGCCTCAG